CGAAGGCATTTTTAATCAATGATCTGAGAAAGCGGTTATTCATTGCTGAAAAGTTACACATTCTTGAACGAGTTTGGCAACACACATGACATCCATGTGAAAGTTTTGATCTGACGAGTCTATTTAAAAACATGAAGAGATGGTATTCTTAAACCCGTGACAATAAATCCAGTCGAACATTTGCTGTATGATTTAAAAGATTCTGTTCTTAATCGGGAACCAATGGATCTATAAGAGTTGGAAGGAAGATGAATAGCGGCAGCATCTAAAATACGAACAAAGTGATGCAAAAACTTATTATAAGCTACAGAAAAAGTCTACAAGCAGAGATCGGTGCCAAAGTATTCACAATGAATTAATAGATGAGTCTGTTGTATAATTTTATTTAAACAGTTATAATTGGATAAACAGAGGAAATAAAATAACAATATTAATTCTTTCTTATTGATTTACATATGAAAGTCTTTTAGTAACGGGAACTGACTATATTGCTGACTTTTGCAAGGCAAAAACGAAATTAATTTATTAAATTATTTGCCTTAAAACAGTCCACATTGGCCGCAACGCGTCGGCTAATAAAACAGTTTTCCTATTGTACTTTACCTTTCATATTGTCTTTTTCTACAGGTTAACTCTGAGAAATTTTTCCTATATATATATATATATATATATATATATATATATATATATATATATATTTCATACAATAGGAATTAAGATTATATTAGTTTAATGATCATTTTCATCTTGTAAATTGAAATAAAATTTACACGGTTTTCCAAACCAGTCTATGGATGATAAGTTATTGAAATGAAAATGGACAGACTGAGGAAAGAAAGAAAGAAGGAAAGAAAAAAGACTTACACTATTTCATAGTTTTTATTTGCTCCCTTTTTCTCTTTTTCCCTTTCCTTGAAAATTTTATTTCATTTTAGACGGTGAAAATGATCATTAACCTAACCTAATGTAATCTTAATTCCTATTGCATGAAATATGTTTTTCTGTTTAATTAAAACATTGAGCTCTCTGACTTTCTTTTCCTCTTTGGAGCTTTGGCTCTTTTGATTGCGATAGGCAACAATTAACTAAAGAAGAACTCAAAACCGATCGCTGCATTTAAGTTTTGCATTAATATTTAAGTTTACCTTTTAAAATTCAACGATAATTCTTCTGTCGCCACTTAATTTAAAGACAATTTGATGTGCGTACATCCTTACTTTCCGGACAAACAATTATTTTTATTTCATGGGTGAATTTCGCTGGATTTCGCAGTTAATTTCGATTATTTCTAAATGTATTTTTAGTTATAAAATTGGTTATGGTACAAAAAATAAGTCACAAAAATCCTGTTACAAATTCGTCAAAAACAATCACAGTATTGAAAACTTGTGTATCCAAAATGTCTGTAAAATGAGCTATTGAAATTTAGAGAGTTGTGTCCCTTTAATTGAGAAAAGATGGCACAGTGACACACTGAAATTCACATTTATCATATCTTATTTAACGTGACGTTTGTAACAAATTTGCCAATAAATTGTATTTTTCTCTCATCACTGACCTCGCGATTTTCTTTGTCTTCATTTTAGAATTCTTTTTGGTAGACTGACTTTCTTTTTTGTAGCGTATTTTCCTTACATGCGAAACACCAGACTGTTCTATCTTTTTTGAATCTTTCTTTACGCTAACATGTCTTGTGCAGTCTTCTGCCAACTTCTGTACCGTAACACTCGGCTCGCTTTCCAATTTAGCCAATACTAATTTTCTCAACTCTGCGTCTCTTTCCGATACCAACCCCTGAACAAACACCAAGCACTTAAAATTGTCTACACTTAACTCTGCCAGCTTGAATTCTTCACAATGCTTGTTCACATTGGCTGCGTTGGTTATATAGTCTTGTTCGTCATTTTTCATCAGATTCAAACATTTCCACCTCTTGTGAAACAAAGATGTCCTTTTACTAAATAATTCACTTAATATATTTACCGCCTCAGTAAAGGTCAACTCTCTAATTTTTTTCGGTAAAATGTAGTTTACCAATTTGTTATGCTCAGCAGTTCCTAATTTGCTTAAAAGAAGCCTAACCTTCTTTCCTTCAGACCACGAGTGGCAGTCCTCGTTATACACGTCCGTATATTTTTTATAATACTCCTCAAAATTATCTCTTCATCTGGACTGTACGTGAATATTTCAATTGAATTCCATATTGTATTCTCTGGAAAAGAATAATTTTGTAGATTTTTCTCTTTCCTCTTCTCAGTTATTTCCAGAATTTTGTTTTGAAACTCACTATTCATCTGTTCCATTTTTTGTTGAAATTGCATTTTTCTATTGAAAGTTTCCTCCTGTAGTTGCATCTGGAATGTTTTCTGTTGTTCTAATATTGTCACCTGTTGTTTCGACTGGAACTTAAAGAATTCCTGGAATATATTTTTGCATTCCTCCATCTTCGCAAAAAAGTTTACACAATGCCTAAATACTGTAGAGGGGGGGGGTTCCTACGAATTTGCATTTCGTGATCTATTTGAGCAAACTGTATTATCGAGAAAAAAATTCCTTTCTCAGTTGAGAATACGACAGATTTTTTCGTCACGAAGTTGACGTCTTGGCTTGCGAAAAGCTTTGCCAATTTTTTTTTTTTTTTTTTGTGAATCCGTGATTTTGCCGCCGAAATTATTGTGACGATCAAATTTCTTCATTTCCCTCCGTATGAGTACGAATTTCGTCACCAAATAATGTTGTGGCGAGCGAACTTTTTTTTCTTCCACCGTATGAATCCGAATCCCTCGTCGCCAAATTATGTGTTGAGTGATTTCACAGTGGAGGCTTGTATTTGTACTAGGCCGGTCCTAAAATAGGTTCGACGTACAAAACGTTAGAAACTTGATGTAATAGGTATAACGCAGAGTAATCTAGTTGTGGTCGCTGATACTTTAGTATTCAACTAACTGTCGTTCGACATAGACTCATTGACCGACTGACTGGCTCGTTACTCTTACTACTCCTACTTATTATAGGTGGGAGAGTCTATTAACTATAGAATAGGTGTGTTCCACTATAACAGACAGACATGCAGAAATTAAAAAAATCGCATCTATGAACACGAAAGGGACCTCATAAATAACAATTTGACAAATGCATTTCTCATTCATAGAAATAAATTCAATTACACTTTTGATTTTAAAAATCCTACATTCATGAAAAAAGAAATTAATTCACAAGGAAGGAAAATCCTCGAGAGTTCCACCATTGACTATTATCCAAATATTAATCTACGCCCCGTTTTTTCCCCAATCATACCTTTGCTAACAGAATCACTACTCTATAAAGCCAACATACACAACAAATATATCAAGAAAGCAAAAGAAAACGGTAGAATCCGCCTTCACAACAATGCAAGCAATATTTCTGCATATGAAAAATTCTCTTTAAACTTAAAAATAAATGAAGTAATTTTTCAATTGACCCAATGAATGAGCCATTCTAAATTCTTCTAGTAACTAACAACATTTTGCTTTTTCTTTATAGATGCATTGTTCAATTAAATTGATTTCGTTTTTTGCCTTGAAAACGTCCACAGTAGACGAAACACGTAGTCTAAAATTATATCCAGTATTCCTAGTGTCTTTTTTGTTTAAACGTATTGTCTTTTTCTACAGATTAATTCTGAGAATGTTTTGCAAACACCCACACACACATATGTGCGTGTACATACTGCGATAGGTAAATTGTCGTCATATTGTATTTTTAATTTCGTGTTGTTTGCTTTTGATTTTCACTAGGCTCAGTTGAACACTGTCTGTGAGAAAAAGAGTAACATGACGTAAACCAGACCGGCATAAATTTGTTGTGCTGCTGTACTTTAAAATGAGATGTTAGTGTTATTTTCATTTTTGAGTAATTTAGACGACAATTTATGCATCACCGCATATATATATATATGTGTGTGTGTGTGTGTGTGTGTGTGTGTGTGTGTGTGTGTGTGTGCTATATTTATGGGTAAAAGTGCTCACTATCTGGGATAGAGCGTATGTAAATGTAAAAGAAGACACTGACTTTGCTAAGTATAATACGCCATTGATATGCATATAATCAATCCACAACACAACACACATGGTTTGAAGATTATTTAAAGCATGAAGCAGACGGTCGCCACTTGGTGTTGCCTTCATCCCTCCCGCTTGAACAAACGAAGTCGGTTCACTATATCGTGCGAAACAATTTTTATGTCAGAATCTCTCTTAGATATTTATATGTCTACTATTCGTGCTTTCTCTGAATATTGTTGCCACATCACGTCTAGTTCTCCTGCTTATAAATTTAGAGATTCTTGATTAATTCCAAAGAGGAATCTGCAATATTATTAGTCCTGACATGAAATCTCGGCTTCAGTTCCCTTCCCACCGCCATAACGTGGCTGTCTGTGCCCCTTTTTTTTTAAATACTTCTATGATCTGATGAATTTTATGGTACCTAGAATTTATGAATTCAAGCAAAGTACTAGATTGGCAGCTAGGTATCATAGATGTACAGTTGAAATAGCTATATCTAACCGTATGTTCTATGTTGACAGTTTCATCTACTGCACTTCCTGCTTGTAAAACTCTCTTCGTGGTTCTTGCTACCCAGTCAACTTTGATCTTTAAAAATGTTAATGCCATGACAATCATTATCTTCTTATTTCTTATTCTTTTATTCTTCTCTCACCTTAATGGTAGTTTTCTTATATTCTCAGTGACCGCTTGCATCTCTTTTCAGTCATATTCACGACTGACTTAGCAGAAGAATTCCTGCAATAGGTTGCCGTAGATTTCTACTGTAGATTGGCTGCCAACGATAGTAACCAGTCTGTCCCCTTATTTAAAGCAGAGCATGGTGGTCGGGGAAATGCCTTCTTACCTTTCCCAAGGCGGTGTGTGCGTAAGCGAATATACTGAACTCGACTGGAATTCGAAATCTGCACTTCGAAGCCATTAACCATCACACCACTCACCCATCGAAGGTTACAGCACCTGCTAATCCGAAGCGGTCACCCATACAGGTACCTAGCTACTGAGCAGTTTCAACGTTGCTTAACTTCGGTGATCTGACGAGAATCGATGCTTCACCGTGATATGGCTGAAATATACAGATTGTCTCCCCTTTCTCGGCTCTCACATCCTCATATATTTACCCTTCACTTCCGGTGTTCTTGGAGTAGTTTTCTTTGGCTTGTACATCCTTCCACTTACCTGAGGAGATCTCAGGCAAGAAACCGGGGTTGCAAGACCGTTTGGCGTTTTTGCTTTCACTTAAATATCTTTGCTCTACAAATTCGATTTTGAATTTTGTATTGAGAACTTTTTTGCTTTACCTTTACCTTTTAAGCGCGGCTGCTTTCAGACTGCCTTCCAGATTTCTATCCGTATACATACATATATATATATATATATATATATATATATGTGTGTGTGTGTGTGTGTGTGAAAAGTATAATTTTAAGGTGTGCTATATTTATGGGATAACGTGGTCAATATCAGAGATAGAGCGTGTGTAAATATAAAAAGTGAACTTTGAAGTCAACACTCAGAGGCGACAGGCTGTTTCATGCAAGACGCAATCCTCATGCTTTTGAGTGTTGACTTCAATGTTCACCTTCATTCAAATATATATATATATATATATATATATATATATATATATAAATTGATTTAAAATATGTTTTTTTTACTACACAGTTCTAACTATGTTTCAAAAATGGAAGCTAATGTCTTTAATTTAATTGCAAAATTAAATTCGTGGCTTTTAGCTTCCATTTTTTGAAACATGGTTAGAACTGTGTAGCGGAAGAAACATATTTTAAATCAATTAATTTATAATATTAATGCTCTCTAAATTTACATCGAGCAATATTTTGTAAAATAAAAATACCTATAAGAACACCGGATTATATATCTTACTGTTCTTTCTTTCTTTTATATATATATATATATATATATATATATATATATATATATATATATCACACACACACACACACACACACACACACACATATATATATATATATATATATATATATATATATATATATATATATATATATATATAATCAGGGAAGCTTGCATCATATTTATTTAAGGTAGCATTCCAAAAGTAAAATCTGCTATTTTACCATTTGGTCAGATTATTTTATCACCCCGTTTTGTATATGCATATACATCTATTTTCCAATAAGTATTCACAGAACAACCCCGCCATGCCGAATGTTTTTCGGGCTTACGCAATCCCTTCCATGCAATGAAAGACTCGCAGTGTCTGACAGTGAAGTTTCAATATGTGCATACAATTGAAGACTTTCTCGAAAGCTCTCTTATATCGGCATAATTTCCCACATTGTGATTACATTGTCTCTAATTACAGATGAATATCCTATTTTTGTTGGGCACCTGTTATTTCTGCTTGCTTAACGTCGAGAAATGCTGATTACAGCCTGCACTGTTAGCTTATTGTTTGCAATGTCCTGTCAGCCAGTGGATTTGGCGGGAAAATATGAACCCTGTAAAATTGCCGATTAGAAAAATAATGAATTTGAAATTTTATAAAATGTAGTGTTCCTGCTTTGTTGAATGCAAAGATAGACTACATTCCGGCTTTAATACTTACTTGTTAGTCATTTCGAACAGTCGCTCTGGAACAATGGATGATAGAATTTAATGTAAGAACACGGCTACTTTATATATATATATATATATATATATATATATATATATATTGAATGATAAAAATCATCATCAGACAATGGGCGCTTTTGTTTAGCGGTATATCTACCTCTATAGTTATTTAATACCGAAATCGAAATATTTCGCAGAGTATCTAGAATATTTATTAGTCTACCATTTGTGCATGCTTTGAATATTGCTGACACATATTGTCTGGTCCTCCAGCTATAAATTAAGAGATTCTTGATAAAGAATCTGCTATGTTATTAGTCCTGATCTAGCATCTCGCCTTCTGTCACTTTCGCACCGTCGTAATGTAGCTTCAATGTGCCTTTTCTACAAATACTTTCATGGTAATTGTTCTTGTTAGGGGAGCTTACCCATAACAAAATCGACTATTCCATACGTAATAAATACTGCGCCTAAAGAGGAAGCCGGAAGTTCAGTCTGAAGTCGGATGACCGGGTGACCGGTTGAACTCTCTGCATTCGGGCGGGGAGGAACCCGAACGAAGCTACGCCGAAGGCTGGAGTCTCTTTCGGGGAGGTAAACCGACCCTAAACCCGTTTATACGTTAAACCGGCCTTGTGCCACATGATGCCCTCGTGGGTGGAGATGGTGACTGAATACCGCTCCGTCTGAAGTCTAGAGTTCAGTCTGAAGTCTGGAGTGAAGTCCGTCAGGAGTCTGTCAGTCAGTCAGAGCGAGCGAGTCAGTCGAGTCAAAGGCAGTCCGAAACAGAGTCGCGTTCAGACAATTACTACTAAACCTGATTGTTCGTATTAACACTTTCTACTTCTCTGTATATATTCCTGTTTGTAATATATCTGTGTTATTCCATATCCGTGTTCGAGTTCTTTATTGGTTCTATCTTGGACTATCACCGTGGTACAAGGAACCGGATCATAACAGTTCTGAGGAACTCTTCGCTGTTGTTCCTTTCTAGGATTCAAGTGGGATTCGGTGTTTAGAAAGTGGAAAAAGTCTCAAGGCGCGATATCTGGATAATATTATATATATATATATATATATGGCATGAAATTTAGCTGCGTAAGTCTTCGGCAGTCTTTTCTTTGCTTCTGTTGGATTACCACCCCCTGACGATAATCACAGGCAGCGCGAAATTTGAAAGTTTCTGTTTCTTTCCTTTTTGGCTTTGCTAGCGACAAGGTCCTCTCTTCTCGATCTGTCGGCATCTAAGGTACCCCAGAGACATAGCGAAGTTTTGGTTTGATCTCTTCACAACTTTAACTTCATTTTTCATTTGCTTTTATGGAACACTTCCCTTGAATGTATTTAATAATACTTCTCCGTTTAAATTCCCTGTTTTCTAGTCTATTTTTGTCTGGTTTCCCATCCGTTTGCTAGTATTGATTGTGGGTCAAATATACCTGGGGACATTAAATATTTACTGAAAAAAAATGTACACATCTCAACAATAGTGGTGATTCCCGCAACAGTTCTAAAGACCTTTTCTTGATTCTTAATACTTTGTTCAGCTTTTAGAAGGCATAATTTGTAATTCCAATGCTCATTCAGGTTTTGGTGTCATCTTACCCGTTATCTGTTAAAATATTACTAAGATATTTCCATTTTGCTACTTGATTTTGAGAATTTTCCAACGTAACTTGAAAGCAGATACAGATTTCTTCCAATGTTGATTTGTAACTATTGAAAAGACAAAACGTCAATAGCAAAACGAAGGAAATAATTAAACAAGGAAAGAATGAAATGAGAATGAAGTTGACGAGGACGACACTAATATGTGATCATAAAAATGTTGCCGTTTCACGCAAAGCAAGATAAAAAATATATATATATTTTCTTCCAGATCTGGTTCCGCCCTGAGAGAATTAGACAATAAAATGGAATAGAATAAACAAAGAGGATTTAAAGAAGGCACACTAAAAATGTTTCCGTCATAATGAAACAAGCCGTCGCCTTCTTTTCTTTTTTTCTTTTTTTATTCGCGAAGTTCGTTTGTGAGCCTCGGCTAACGATCAACCGTTCACTTCTTCGCCGCACATTGGTTCAAGAACCGAAGATCAGGAAGAAATCTAAAGGTGGATTTTACAAATTGAATTAACAAAAAAAAAAAAAAAAAAGAAAAGAAAAAAAACGATAAGCATAAATAGAGAGCGAGTCGCTTTTATCCTTGGACTTAATTAAAGTGCGTATCGGACGATAAATTTACATCCCAGAGAGACAGGTTGAGCTTGGCAAGATGGAAGGCTTAATTGTCAAAGTATAAAGAAAATAAAAATAAAAATTGAGTAACGAGGACATAAAAATTGAGAAGAAAACAGAGAAAAGAATTATATCAGAGTTTGGATTCGTTTTCGAGGGTGGACCGAAGAGGAAACTCCGCAGAGTGATTGAAGATTATTCCAACGAACAGAGAGAGAGAGAGAGTTACTAGTAATCCAAAGGCATATTCAGAAACACAAGTATACGTGTTCTTTTTCCCTTACCGAATTGCATAATTTAAATATATATTTCATTCTTTCTATATAATCATCATGTGTTTACAGATAGAAAAGATGTCTGTAGAATCGATCAAAACTCTCCCAGCTGATGATGGTCCTTGATGATGAGAGAGATTAAAAAAATATAGATTGAAATATTTTCATGGATTATCGCAAGTTGCAAATAAGAAAGTGGAGATATTAGTTACTTGTAGCCTTTCTACATTTGTGGAAGATTTATCCGTTGATTTATCAGATTCCATAAATATTCCAATTTCAGCTGACTAATGTATGTCGTTGTCAATTGATTTGTCCTTAATACGTATATATGTATCTATGTATCTATCTATCTACGCATCTATTTTAACACTTCATATGTATCTAGCAAGCTAGCTTAACCATATAAATATTTTCTAAATCCTATTCTATCTATCTATCTATCTATCTATCTATCTATCTATCTATCTATGTTAATGTTTTCATATATATTTATATAGCGAGATAGATATTATAAACCTTTCCGATTTATCTACCTATCTATTTATAAATTCCGAGAATGTGTTTCTAGGGCAGGAATATATTAATATATACCTCGTATCGTTGAAAAAGAACAGAGGCGTATTCGAAAATACCGACATTAAATCTATCCGCCGTTGAATTGAGTCAAAAAGCTAATATATAATAAATTTCAATTTTATTCACAATATTTGTATAATTTTGACTTTTTTTCTTCAAATTTTATTAACCGGCCTATTAAATTGCACACACACACACACACACACAGACACACACACACACACACACACATATATATATATATATATATATATATATATATATATATATATATATATATATATATGTGTGTGTGTGTGTGTGTGTGTGAAAATATATAGAAAATAGGAAGGAACTGGTTAGGTAAATAATAAAAAGTTTCTTAGTATTTTACTTATTA